ACTTGGTCACTTAAGGGTTGATATGGGGGGCAGTGTTGTGCTTTTGCAGTCTGGCCTGATGGACTGATGAACTGGTCCGGCCTCTGATAACCAGCTGGCTGCTCAGCCCTGTGCTCTTCTTTCAAGTAGCATCTAGAGTTACATGTTAAGATGGGAGTCTGTCCTCCTTGGCATACAGAAGCAGAGTGGTCAGGATTCTCCAAGGAGTGCTGTTGGTGTTTTGGAACAGTTCTTCACTGGATGCATTGCAGGACATTTAGCCTCTTTGTCCCCCTGCCCTCTAAATGCTAATAGGATATCCAGTCATTGTGACAGTCAGAAACATCTTGTGTTTCTAAAGTCCCCCTGGTCAAGATCGGGCCACAGCATTACATTGAGTAGGCCACGTATGTGTGAAGATGTAGGTGAGCTTTTCCAGGATCAGGCAGTGCCATGGTCCTCTGCTTGCTTCCTTTGGGCTTATGTATACCAGATGGTTCCTTTTGTTTTAATTTTTTAGACAGCCGGGTGCAGTAGTCATGAGCCTGTAGTCCCAGCTACTCAGGAGAATGAAGTGGGAGGATTACTTGAGCCTAGGAGTTTGAGGTTAGATTGGACAACATAGTGAGACCCCCATCTTTAGAAAAATAAAAAACTTTATTTATTAATTTTGTTATGTACATATTTATTGAGTACCAGTGATTCTAGGTGCTGAAGATAAGACTTCAGTAAGATGGTGAAGTGCTTGTCTTCAAGAAGCACAAAATCTAGTGGGAGAGAAACATAGCAAGCTACGGTTGACTCTTGAACATCTCAGGTTTGAACTGCGTGGATTCACTTATATGCAGATTTTTTTCAACCAAATATGAATGGAAAATACATCATTTGCAACAGAGGGCTGACTTTACTAGTATGCGGGTCTGCAGGGCTGACTGGGTGACTTGAGTATGCATGGACTTGGGTATGTGTGGGGTTCTGGAACCAATCTGTGAGGATACCGAGGGCATCTGCCATTGCCTAATACAGAATTTCTGTTGGCATTATCAGGGGAGTAAACAGAGGTAGTAAGGATGAAGGATTATATTTTGGATTTTGTCATTATGTTATAATCTTCTAGGGTGCACTGAGATAGGAAATGGGGGCTAGTCCTTTGTAGACTGCAGAAATGTCATCATTAACTGGAGAATCATCCAGAATATAATCAGCATTGGGTAATTCCCAGATGGGTGAAAAGTCCTCTGTGAGTTCAATGATAAGGGCTGGTTGGCCTGCAAAAAAACTGAGTTGCATAGAATTTGGGGAATGTTTGGTCTTCTCTTAACAGCCCAGAGATTGAGCTTAGAGGTCTGACCTAGGTGCCTTGAGTTTCCAGAAGGTTCTAGGAGGCCAAGACTTGAGGATTTTGGAGAGTTGCTGTTTCATGTTCTGTGGTGGGGATGGCACATGCATACATGCTGCTTACACACTTTGAATATCCCTGGCAGAGTCCACACAGAGCCAGAACCATGGGTGGCCCCCAAGAACTGGAATGAGAGGGAAACTCTCTTTTTTACTTTTTTTTTTTTTTTTTTTTTGAGTTTGAGTCTCACTCTGTTGCCCAGGCAGGCATGCAGTGGCATGCTTACAGCTACCACAGCCTCGACCTGCTGGGCTTAGGCAGTCCTTCCACCTCAGCCTTCCAAGTAGCTGGAACTACAGGCACGTGCTGCCATGCCTGGCTAATTTTTTTTTATTGTAAGAGATGAAGTCTTGTCAAGCTATCTAGGCTGGTCTCAAACCTCCTGGGCTTAGGCAATCTTCTCGCCTCTGCCTCCCAAAGTGCTGGCTCAGATGATCCTTCTACCTCAGCCTCCCAAGTAGCTGGATCTACAGGTGTGTGCCACCACACCCAGCTCATTTTTTGATTTGTTGTAGAGATGAGGTTTTGCCAAGTTGCCCAGGCTGGTCTCGAACCCCTGGAGTCAGGCAGTCCTCTCACCTCTGCCTCCCAAAGTGCTAGGATTATAGGTGTGAGCCACTGTGCCCGGTTGTATTTTTTTTGGATAAGAAAAATATAATTTATTTAAAAAATAAATTAGAGAGAGAGAGAGACAGAAAGAGGAGATTCATTTCCCCAAGGTAGGGAAGGGGACCAAAGCCAGGAAACATGGCAACAGCCATAGCTCCAAGAGTATATAGCCACACCAGAGTCTAGTAAGACAATGACTGCAATGGCCTATTTTTTCTTTTTTAAACAGAATGCACTCACATGGTTTACAGTTTACAAAGGTACTAAAGGGCATATGATGAAAGAGACTTGCTTGGCACTGTGTGCTGTTTAAAATTTTCTCTCTGGCAGAGATATTAACTGTTCAAGGGATGAATCCACTTTAAGGGGAGCTCCTTGATGATAATGATTCAGTGTTTAGTTGTATCTAAGGAAGAAAGTTTTGGGTTAAGTCAGAATGGGGCTTCCTAAATAGTGAAACTGTTTCTGTTAATTTGTTTTATCTAGTCGAATAGCCTACATTATTATTTATGGGGTGGCATTAAGGTTAATAAAATGTGGTCTAAACAAAACTTATTTCGAGTAAGTAGAAGTGTTCAAATCCCTTAGTACCAGTTACTGACTGAGTCATCATGGGCAAGTTATTTAATCTCCGAAAGTTCATGCATTTATTGTGAGAATTATGTAAAGAGCTAAGGAAATGTTAGCACTTAGTATTTACCCGGTGGAGTGAAGGAGGCTCTCACAAAGGTAATCCATCCAGTTGTGTTATCACCCTTGTTCTGTTCTTTGTTGCCCACTCATTCGTTCAGCAGATATCTGTTGAAACCCTGTTCTGTGCCTAGCACTGCCCTAGGCCACAGGGATACAGTGATGAGCAAACACAGACAGTTTCTGCCCACGTGGAGTTTTTAATCTGGTGAGAGAGAAAGACAGCAATCAGATAGCCACACAAATGTAAAATACTCAGTCCATGAAGGAGAGGTATGTGGTTTATGGGAATATATAACGGGGATATTTAATCTTGTCATGGGTGTCAGGGAAGTGTCTTAATTGGATCTCACGGATGCTTAGATTAAAGTATCAAAGAGGCAAGCAAAGGAAAAACATGTGCAAAGGCCCGTTGACAGAGGAGGCAAAGGCCAGTGTGTCTGTTGAGGGCAGAGCTGGGGAATGGTGCCACCTGAGATGCAGTCAGAGTAGATCTGAAGCCTTGTATTGTGGGCCACACTGAGAAGTTTTTTCTATCACCTGAGAACAATGAGAAGCCATTACAGTTGTTTACTGGAGTGAATGGGTGGATCGGGGACAAGATGATCAGATTCTCATTTGGAAATGAAGTTTGCGTTATGGAAGCTGAATTGGAAGAGAGCGTGATTGGGGGCGGGAGTGTACTGATTAGGGCTACTATCATGGTCCAGGCAAGAGATTTTGAGATTTTGGTAGCTTGGACCAAAGTGATAGCAGTAGAGATGGAGAGAAGTGGTTAGATAGATTCCATGGACATTTAGGAGGGAATATCGGCAGGACTTGAGAATGGGTTAGCTCTGGGGAGTAAGGGAGTAGGAGCTGTCAAGGATGGCCTTTTGGATTCTAGTTTGCACAGTCTGGCAAAGCTCATGTGCTCCACTCTAACAGGAAATACTAGAAGATGCGTGTGGCAGAGGAAGAGGACTGTGAGTCTGCTATAGGGCAGGTTTAGTCCCAGAGGAGGAAGGGAGGCAGTAGGGATGTGGAGCTCAGAGGGGTCCAGGCTAGAGATCTGAACATGGGAACTTACTGATGATGCCTGAAGCCTTGAGAGGGCAGGAGGGAGGGAGGGATAGAAAGCTTGCTCAGATCCTGAGACTGACCCACACTTTCTAGTTAGTTTCATGCTGCCTGGCCTTCTTGTCCTGGGATGGCGGGGCTCTTGGAATAGGACTTTGGATGGAGGGATAGAGTCTTTCATCCAGCAGAGTCCTTACCACTGTGCTGTGTGCCAGCTATGTGGTGGCAGCTGGGCATGAGGAATTGTCTGGGAATTGCGGACTGGGCTCTTTCCTCTCCCACCTTCTGACCTTTTTCCTAGGAGGCCCGACACATGCTGTCTGATCTAGCTGGGAGAGCATGGGGGCTGGAGACGGGCTCTGGCTCCTGGGACACACAGATTTGGCTGCACTCATCTGGATATTATCTGTAGATATTTGGCAATTGAGTTGAACATCAGTAACCCTAAACTAGTCATAGCTCATCCTGCTTGGCTTATTCTTTTGGAGATTTGTAAATTTCTTCAGAGTCTGTCTCTCTCCTTTTCTCTAAATTTTGGTCATATCAGTCCAAGGTGAAGGCACTTGTGAGGCTGAGGCAGTGAACCCGAGAAGGAAATAGTTTAGAGCCAGGGGAGTTGGCTGTGGTGCTTCCTGCTCGCCTGTAGGTTGGGCTGTTTATCTGTCAGTCTGTCACTAGCTCATTTCCAAAAAGGATTTAAGCCTGGGGCACTCTTTAGTACTGTGGGGTGGTGTTCTTAGTGACAGGCAATAAATAGGAACCTGTGTAGTTTACTGGCTTGTTGGCTGCAAATACTGTTAGAGGCAGAGAAAATCCTGCGTGTGGGCAGCTGGGGCCCCCTTGTGGCTGAATGTGGTCTCTGCTTTGACTCTGCTTTTCTGCCCGTCTGCTGGAGTTGGGGAGGTCGCAGAAAGAGGCGTTGCTCTCTCTTTCAGCCTTTTCTCTGGATTGTGCTTGTCCCGTGGATTTTGTCGTGGTCCCCAGCCCTTGTTACTCAGTGGCTGATCTTGGGCTGTCCTGAGCAAAACCAAGCCTTGTTCCTGAGGTGCTTTTACAGTGAACCCAGAAACAATCTCACGTTTCCTGGCCAGTTCACATCTTGGGGCTGGTTCTTACAGGCAGTCTCACAGAAAACCCTAAAGTCACAAAAACCAAATAGGAGAAAGGTGTTTGCGTGTGTTATTTGAGAATGAAACATCTCTGGTTTTTTGACGTCCATTGGGTGGCACTGTGATCTTATTTTTATTTCTATTTTTCTTTGCAGCCGAGCTCTACTCCAGGAAGTGAAAATGTGCTGCCCCGAGAGCCGCTGGTAAGTACCCAAGTATGTGGCATCTTTTTCTAATAATTAAAATGCCATGTGAGTTGAAAGAAACCTTATGATCCTAAAGTTTTCATTCATAGTGTCCCTTTAAAATGTAGGTGTTATGTGGAGGCTACCTCTGTCCGTGACCTCTGACTTATTTTCTAGCATACAGGGATTAGTGAAATCTCTTCTTAGTAAAGCCTAGTCTTTTCTGGACCTAAAAACATCCACCCCAGATGGTCATGTGCCATTTTGTGACTGATCAATAGTAATTAGTGAGATGCCTGAAACCTTGGGAGGCTGAGTTGGAGTGAGGCTGCTCGGCCTAGCCAGGTCGCTTCTTGATAGTCTGAAATAGCTGTTCTCTACTCCTCAGGGGGTGAGCATATCAGGTTGTCTTTAATGAACAGGTAAGGGAGGGAATTCTGATTTTTGTCTGGTCAGTAACTAGGTTTATGATAGTTATTACCAACATTATCTTCTTAGACTATCGATAAGGAAGAGACCTGCTAAGTACTAAAAGTAATTTTCATTACAAAGTGCTTTTGTGTTGATGACCAGAACTTCTACCTGCCAGCCCCATTTTCATTTTGTTTTGCTTTTCAGGGTGTGCTGTAAATCCTGTTGGCTGGGTAATAATCCTAGTTCTGTACAAGCTAGACAAGTTTTTTGGGTTTTTTTGTGTTTTTTTTTTTTGAGTTGGAGTCTCACTCTGTCACCCAGACTGGAGTGCAGTGGCCGCTCCCGGCCACCGCAGTCTCGACCTGCTGGGCTCCGGTGATCCTTCCGCCTCAGCCTTCCAAGTAGCTGGAATTACAGGCATGCGCTACCACGCCCAGCTGATTTTTTTATTTATTGTAGAGATGAGGTCTCGCTGCCCAGGCAGGTCTCGAACCCACGGGCTCAGGCAATCCACTCACCTCAGCCTCCCAAAGGCGCGGGATTATAGGCTGAGCCACTGAGCTCGGCTTTAGACAAGTTTTATGGGAGAGCCAGCATTAGGTTTAGCTTTTCAGAGATTTTTTTTCTTTGAGTAGTGATAGCAAGCTTAGGAGTTTACTGCCAAGGTTTTGTTGTAACACAGCCTGTAGTTTCACCTGTTTTTCTTCACTCTCCTTCTGGCAATGGTGGGAGGAGGTGACGTGAGGTCCTTAGCTGGTATGGACAAGTCTGAATTCTAGCATGTACCATGGCTTTCCAAGGCAGACAGTGAGTTGGATCCAGCTGAGCTGAAAGACCAAGGTGATACAGGCACTGCCAGGACTGTTTCAGGTGTTGTCATTCATGTCACCTGCTGTTATGTCACTGGTTATGGGCTCATTTCCCAGCACTCCCACGGTGGCCTCATTTCACTCTTCTCTTATTGCCTGGGTTCTTCCTTGAGGTCATGGTGGTGTGAGTGCCAGGGAGGCTTTACCCTGCCAGTCTTGTACGGAGCTGGCGTGCTTCCCATGGGTCTGCCTCAGTGCCCCCAGGCTGAAGTTAGGGTTGGTTTTCAACTTATGTCCAAATTTAACATGATAGTCCTCTTTAGCCCTCTATTTCCTCAGTCTCTTTTTGAATTTTGACCGCCTGATTTAGGAGATCATCAGAGGAGTGGCCAGTCCATCTTTTGGGGCAGGACTAGATCAGCTTGCTGGGAGCCTAAGCAGTTGGCAGGCCCACGGAGCGCTGGGTGTTGGGAGCCCTGCAGACCTTCTGCTCTGCTCATGATTCTATGTGCTGCTCCTTTCCTGCTGCACTGTGCATCTGCTTGTTGGTTGGTTGTATTTTTATTTCTTTCTTTTCTGGGAGGCCCCGAGCAGTCTTCAAACCCTAGTAGCCTGCGATCGTCCAGAGTTCAGACTCATTCTCTCCAGGCCAACTCTACAATTACCTTATATTTAATTAATATTTTTTCTCCTCTTTACGTACTTGCTGCATAATTGCTCAGAGGAAAGAAAACTCATAGCAGCAATTTATATATATAAAAAAAAACAATAATTAAAAAAAAACCCCGAAATAAACTCCCATCTCATTTGGGCTGATCCTGTGAGTTGGGTAATTAGGGCCCTATTAAAAGACAGACCCTCTCTCCTTCCCCCCCTTTTTTTTATTAATTTTTTTATATTAAACTCCCACAGTTTCTCAGTCATGCCCTTATTGCTTTTGGCCAACCATTTGCAGCAGCCTGATTAAATGAGGGCACCAGCCGAGTTGTGTGGTCTTGTGTGAACTACTTCTTCCTCTTGGGAGTGGCTGTGGAGGGTGTCAGGCGGAGTGACCCACTGAGGGCTTGTGCGGCAGGTTCGAAGGACAGGGTGGGCAGGAGGGGAGTCTGGTTGCTATGAACTGGCAGCAGGATAGATGAGAGTCACAGGGCACTGCAGAGGTGATGGGGTGACACCGAAGTCCCTCAGTTCCGTGCTGTGGTGCTGCAGTTTGTGAAAACACGCAGCACTCAGCGTCTTTTCTAGGGAGGGAGGTTTTATAGGCTGCTGGTATTAACTGTCTCCTGGGTGCTCAGCTCAGCTCAGCTCAGGCTTGAGGATTGGGAAACAGACAGTTGACGAGTAAAACTAAACATTGTTCTCAAGGAATTAAAATATTTTATTTGGGGAAGGAAAGGCATTTATACAAATGAAACAATTAGCAAACAGTACAAGACTGTATATCATTTTAGCAAACAGCACAAAATCGTATATAATTTGGTGCAAAAATTGCCTGATTGGGAGTATAAGAGGGCCCCTCGTTTTTCAGAGAAGGTAGAGTTCTGCAAAGGGTGAGTGGGGAGGGAATTAGGGATGATTTTTGTGAAACTTGAAGCTGGATCTTAAGGAATAGGTTATTTCAGTGTTGAGAGGACACACTGTTAAGTTGTTTTTGTTTTTATTTTCAACTGAGTGCATGTTTTCCCCAAAATTGCTTAGTGGAAGCTGCCTGGTCTCTACACTAAAAGGGCTGGGCATAGGATACTGAAGATACATAATCTTATCTTATTTTTTGTCCCAGACTGGATGATTACTTTGAAATCATTTTTCTTCTTATTAAAAAGGTAAGTAGGTGAGGCGTGATAGCTCCCGCCTGTAATCATGGCACTCTGGGAGGCCAAGGCGGGAGGATTGCTTGAGCCCAGGAGTTTGAGACCAGCTTGGGCAACATAGTGAAACTTTGTCTCTTCAAAAATAAAAAAAATTACCTGGGTGTGGTGGCACATGCCTGTAGTTCCAGCTACTTGGGAGGCTGAGGCGGAAGGGTTACCTGAGTCCAGGAGGTTGAGGCTGCGGTGAGCTGTGATCGTGCCATTGCACTCTAGCCTGGGCGGCAGCATGAGACTCTGACTCAAAAAAAAAAAAAAATAGAAAAGTAAGTGATGACCAAGACACTCTATTGGGTAGTTAGTGCAGGGCAGGTGACGTTGCCATGTTTAAGTATTTGGTGTCTGCATGATTGTTTTGCTTTAACTGCTAGACAAGGAAAGCCTGTTTTTCATTTCTGTCATCTCTGGACTATAAAAACAGTCTTGTGATTTTATAGTGAAAAGTATAATCTTGTAGTCTCTAAACGACACATTTGTGTTTATAGCCATGTCCTGGCTGTGATTTTAGCCAAGTAGTGACCCTGCGTATTTCCTTCTCTTGCCACCTCCTTCCTTTTTTTGAGTTGGAGTCTCACTCTGTCGCCCAGACTGGAGTGCAGTGGCACACTTCCGGCCACCGCAGCCTCGACCTGCTGGGCTCTGGTGATTCTTCCGCCTCAGCCTTCCAAGTAGCTGGAACTACAGGTGCGCGCTACCACGCCTGGCTAATTTTTGATTATTGTAGAGATGAGATCTCGCCAATTTGTCCAGGCGAGTCTCGAACCCGTGGGCTCAGGCAATCCACTCACCTCGGCCTCCCAAAGCGCAGGATTACAGGCTGAGCCACCGAGCCCGACCTCTTGCCCTTTTAATCCTGTCCTTGCCCCTGCCCTCCAAATAAAACCAGCCCAGCAACCTGACCATATTAGCAGGATAGCTGTTCTGTAATATCATAATGTCATCAGAGCTGGAGAGTGGTGAACAGACTGGTTGTGAGAAATTTTGTAAACCAAGTTGAAATTTTCTGTTAATGACAAAACTCTTTGTTAAAGTAAAAATGATGATTACTTTTTTCTCTTCGTCCCCTCATCACTGAGCTTTGCCTTCTCGGGAAAGGAGTTTTGACAGGCTGCCAGAGAACCGATCCCAGCTTCTCCCAGACCTGTTGGAAACTTCTGTGAATTTTCTGCAGATCAAGTTTTCTAGCCATAATGTGGGCCTATCCTCAGCCTCACACAGTCCCTGGATCCAGCTCCCTGTGCGGCCCTGGCAGGATGAAATCCCTGCCTGGTCTGTAGGTCTTTAAGAATGGGTGGACTGTTGTCTGCATGGGGTACTCAGTTCCCATTTTACTTGCTACTGAAACTGGGGTTAAGTAACCTTTTGAGATTTTCTTTTAGTCATATGTCTTTTGGTTATTCGAAGTAAGCAATAAAGAAGGTTTTGTTGACATGTCTGCTCACTTGTTTCGACTCAGTTTCTCAATATTCAGCAATACTCTATTGCTCATCTGCTTTACAGTGCTTATGGGTCTTGCCCTTTGACACCAAGTGCCCTCTAATGGATGAGTCTTCTGCTATCCTGTCTTTTCTAACTTGTAGGTATAAGTTCTTTTGTTTCTTCTTTCCAAACTCTTCCCTGCATTCCTCCGCCAAAATAACCCTAAACTATAATATAATATATTTTTATAAATGGTAATTTCTACTTTATGTCCTTTTCTAGGATTAATATTTTTTAGTATGTTGAATTCTTTTTTTTTTTTCCTTTAAGATTTTTTTGAATCAGTGTCTTACTTTCATCCAGGCTAGCATGCAATGGTACAATCACAGCTCACTGTAGCCTTGACCTCCTGGGCTCAAGCAATCTTCCAGCCTCAGCCTCCTGAGTAGCTGGGAATATGGGTGTGTACCACCATGTAGGACTAATTTTTTGAATTTTTTGTAGAGAT